TTGCATATTTAAAAAAAATCAAAATATGAGCAATAAAATCGTGGAAATTGGCAGTCTCAGGGTTAATTTTCCTCTTTAGTCATATAACTTGGTCAGCAAAAGACACGTCTAAGAAATAGTGATCTTTGTGATTATGCTCCTTTGGGAAGCTTACCTACATGCCCTCAAATTTCTTCTCTAAATTATTTCTAACATTCTCAAACACTGGCAGATTCAAACACCTCATAAACAAATCAAAAACTGCTAGAAAAACATTCCTCCACTATCTCACCAAAATAAGTCCTCTCTATGCCCATGTTTTGGTCTGAATTAATGGTATGTTGCAATCTATCAGAAAGTCCTTACTGATAAGAACATAGGGCACACCACAAAAAGTTGTCTCTGATTGTGTTGGGTTGTTGGGTTTTTTTGCTGTTGTTGTTTGTTTGGGGTTTTTTTCCCCAAAAAACTAAAGGCAGGAACAGCATTTGCTTTTAGTATTGAAGTCTATGCTGGACCGGTGGAGAGTAATGTGAAACACTATATAGCTACAGTGGAGGAGCTGGGTAGAGTATTTTTCTCATCAACAGTCTATTATCAGTAAACACAGTCTGAATGGAACCAAAGTACTAAGCAAAACTTCTAACAGTGCTGGAAGCAGGTGTGGGGGGGGTTGTTTTTATGGGTTTATCCAAATCAGTTCTTGAAAGTTCTCATGAAAAACAGGAGAAGAAAATTTTCAGTGATCCAAAATAAGATTTCTTTTAATTAGAAAATTCTAGAATTCCCAGGGTTTTGAGATTTAGATAATTTTTTAAATCAAAATGTGAAATCCTTTATTAAAATTGGGTTTGCTACCCAGCAAAACTATAAATGCTAAATATTAGAAAACAAAAAAGTGGTTTTCTTTGGAATGCATTTCATGAGAAATAATCTCAAGAGCAAGAATGGGTGTTGTAATAGGGTTTTTTTTCCCAAGGTATAAGCTCTTGCTAGGGCTTAACAAATATAACTGAAATTCATCTAAAAAAAAGGAATGGATCAGGTATGAACTGATAAAACTTCCCACTTCTTTGACCTTGTAAACTCCACATCAAAACGCATGACACAGCAGGATGTTTGCCTAGCAGCAGTATGTATGTACATCCTCTTTATTTCCTTTACTGGCTCAAACCTAGTTCTTCACATTAATTACCGTTCATTTACTGAGTGGAAAGCATGCATTTTTAATTATGTTAGTGGAGATGTTGGCTGGTTGTGAAACCAAGTGCTTGGAGTTGGTCCATTTGACCCACGTGAATCAGCAGTACTGTTTTATAGTTTTTGCATTTTTTCACTTCAGCATTTCAAACTGTGATCCCTGTGAGAAGAAAACCTGCTAAAGACAAAAGGCTCCATCTAGCGGGCAAGAATTTTCTATTTAAAGAAAAAAATGCTCTCATTTTCACTTAATTTTATGCATGAAGAAATACAGCTTTAGATTTTGTTTCATTAAGCTGCCATGTTGTTAATTCTTCCCTTCTACAGAGCCATTATTTCATATGCAAAGCTGTGAAACATTAAGTATTATTCTGACTCGAGCAAGAAGCAATAAATGATACTAAATGAGTGGGTTTATACAGCAGTTGATCCACAAGGTTCTTCCTCCCCACCCCCTTCAAGCTTCAATATATAGTAACCAAATATGGGTAATTTGTGTGCCAATAATTATTTTAAACTATTTACGGTTCTTTCCTACTTAAAACTGACTGGCAGCACTCATAACTTGATTTGACTTAACACTATTTTGGGAGTATTTTTACACAGGGAACTCTACCCATGTGTTACCTCATCATTAAATGACTTTTTTACCTGTAAACGGTGAAATCTGGGTTCTCTGGCAATGCAGTTCCAGGGCATCAACTTCTGGCAAGACCCCAGTGGCCTCTGCTGTGTGTCTTCCAAAGGCAAAGACCAGAACTCATTGATCCTGGCATTTGTCTAGAAGCCTCCCCAGTGCTGCTGTGTGTCCAAAAGCACCCTGATAGAATCTAGCACCTTTATTTTATGATCAAATACAGTGGTACTTTTCTTTTGCTCTCTTTGCTGAATTCCTGCACTGCATTGCAGTTATGCTCCCAGCTCCTGAGAAATTCAAATGGCAAGACTCTTCCATTTGCAGTAGTACTGAAACTTGGGTGTTACTCTTGTTCCAACAGAGCTAGCAACTGAAACCTTCTCTTCAGTTCATTTCATTTCAAGCTAATAACAAGCGTAGGAGTAGGAATAAGTAGCAGCAAGCACAGATTTGGCAGAAGAGCCGCTGAACCACATGTCCTGGCTTTTGTCAGACTGTCCCTTATTTTAAAGCCATACAGCCTGGCAAGATTCGTTCCTCCTGTGCAGCTTCCAACAACAGATAGACAGTGTAACATGCATTGTAATCATGCACTACACCCAAGTGTACTACAGCCTGTGTTGATATTCAACATGGGAAAATGTGTCTCCTGCACAAATCACAAAATAGAGTTTACTAAGTTGCTCTGCACACCTTTCGATCACTGGGAGATCTCAATTTGCAGTGGGTCACTCAATAGCAAACCCAGAGGATTTTTCCTTCAGTATTAATGCACAATTTGGCAATTCTGTTAGGCCACACAGACTCGCTGATCTTCCTGAATAATTCTCCTCAGTTGCAGCTCTCCTTGTATCCTCCATGGAAATCTATCTCTGTGCTGCCAGTGAGTAAGAGCTGTCATTTGGCTTGTTTTACAGGCTAAAGCAAAGAAGACTGAGAGTTCTTACTCTGAACCTTTCTACAAGCAAGGACTAACAGAACTGACTAGTTGTGGAGTACCATTGCAGAAGTTGATATGTTTGCAAAATGCAAGCAGTGCTATCTCAAAAAGGGAAGAAATTAAAGACAAAAACTGCACGTTTTGGTATTGTTAAGAGTAATGCCATGTGGTTTCTAACGTACACAGACACCTACCTCACAGGCATGCAATAGAAGAAAACATGCAAGTCACTTGATTCAAAGTTCTTAAATAATACCCCTTTTAACTGCTAGCCTTTGCTCTAGAACTGTTCTTGTTTTAAAAGATTATTGGTTTGTTGCTGAGCTAAAGCAAATCCCGAATTTGGAAGTAAAATAAGATCCTCTGCCTTGTCTTACTTTAAATACCTTTTCTAGCACTGGTACTTGAGCTGATGCTAATGAAGTACAAATTTCCAGATGTGAAACTCTGGGGAATATCTGACATACTGCTTTTGTAATAATCTGCTATAAAATCAAAATGTTAATTTGGGGATTAAGTATTAATTTATTCCCACTACAGGTCATCAAAAAGCTTCACTGAAGCCTTCTAATTAACATTTAACGTAGGTATTTTAATTATGTTTATCTGAGTTAGATTTATTTAGCAATTTTTTCGTTCTTTGTGGGAGCAGCTATCTTTTGAAACAAATGCACTGATGTGCCTTTATTGTTGAAGAGTAACACTAAGTCTCTTATTTCTTTTTCACAGCTAACCAGGTGCTGAAGTTTGGAACACTCGTCAGTACTTCCAACACCTACAATGGCTCTGGGATTGTGACTATCGAGACAGACAAACCTTTGCTGTGGACAATGGCTATCAAAAGATAAGATCAGCTACAGCTGCCTTTTCTGATCCAACACAACTCCAATTACTGCAAAATTTCACTGAATTAAGACAGTAAAGCTGTTCCAAAAAATATAAGCAGGCATGATTTTATGTATCGAATGGAAAACAAGTCTGAAATAAAAGTTACTTGAGATCCAATCGAAATTACTTGCAGAGAGTCCTTCATTCTGGTACCTAACACCTCCTAACCATTAGACACATGAGCAGCCACCCAGTACAGTCACAAACAAAAATGAATGTAAAGAAACTGCTACTGCTTATCTGGTTAGTCCAGACTACTTTTGCAAAGTATTTTATTGCAATACTGAACTGTTTTTCCCCTTTTGCCAAAAGAAAATACAGTACCCAGTTGCACATAGTGTATTACAAGGTGATAGCACTAGGATTAGTTAATCTCATTTTTCTGTCCTGGTTTGTAACAGCTGCTGGTGGAGGTTTCTCAAGAATAATAGTTGAACTTTTCTACTTAGGAAACAAGTTTGTGTACTGAAAAAGCTTCAGTTTTCCTGTAATATCAATATCAGATTTCTAAGTATTAAGTGCTTTTAAAATCTGTGATAGAAGTACCATTGTAGCTTCTGCAAATACTAAATGCTTACAGTAAGCTTTCTGGAGTGAAATAAATTTCTTAATCTCAATCTGAGGAGGAATAGCATTGCACCTACTAGAGTTTCTGCAGGCTTAGTTCTTAAAATCAAAATGGTCACTCATTTAATAATGAAAACTTCCAGGTCAACATGCAGAACCCTTTATAATTCTGTGTGCAGAAGAGTATCCAAAATGGTTGTATATCCTATCCAACAGTGTGAGGAAGTTGCAGATTTGCAGAACGACTGCTTAGCATCTCTGACAACTAAATTATCCTCAAATGGTACATCTCAGTAACCAACTAAGTTTGGCTTTTTTAATTATGCCATCAGAATAAGGACTGGCCATGCAAGTTCTTCATTTGATGGAGGATTTTTCCAGTCAAGTACATAACATAACCTAGCAGGACTTCCAAATGCAGAAAGGAATTAGTGATAATGATGGTGATTCTAGAAATTAGTGACAAGAATTTCAGTTGATAAGACTTTTAAATTACCACTTGAAAGGATACGGGAATGCTGTTTTCTTGCTGTCTGCTTTTGCTGGAACAATGCTGTTCCTATGCTTAATTTACTGCTTAGTAAACAGCTCCTGAAGAGAGGTCATACAGTTGTCATCCTTGGAGGCTTCCAATATCTGACTGGACAAAGCTTAAGCAGTCTTGTCAAGAGTGCAACACTGACCCAGCGAGGAGCAGGACATTGGACTAGAGACCTCCCAAGCTTCCTTCCTACCTGAATGACTCTACTACCAGTTAAAAGATGTAACAAAACAAACAAAAGGCACTACTACTAAAAAAGAAAAAAATCCTGTAATATAGACAGGTATGATCACATACACTTTAAAAGAAAAATAAGGTGACAACAGTGTTTGAAAACCCAAACTGAGCTTGTTTAATATCAAACAAATTAAAGCTGTGAAATCTTTGCAGCAGGTGTCACAACTGTCTTCTTCTTCATGATGAATATTCAGCCACCTCTGTTGAGAGAACAAAGTATCAGTTTCAACTAATCAAGTGATCCCGCCTGAAGTCTAATTTATCCTCCCCCCACTGCATTGCTGGGACAACCTTTACTACCATTGCAGCTTATCTCCTATTTTTTAACACTTCTCCTTGCCTACAGGACCACTCTTACACGTATAAGCAAGCCACACATCATGGTCACAGAACAGTATTTAATCTCTTCCAGTGCTAGAAAGGGCATTACATCAGCTCTGAATAACAAGAGGAGTTTTAACTGGCAGTGTTAATGGGTCAGTACCATGGTGCCAGTCGATTTAAGGGTCAAGATTTTCCTGCTGCAACATTCATTCCAAAAGGGATTTTACAGAATGCAGTTACACATAAACCAAAAAGTTTCAAACACATCTAGCAGTGAGTAAATGAAACAAGACCAGTTTTGTTCTGTGCTCTGTCATCCTGCAGGACACCCACTCAGTTTTCTCTACCTTATCTGTTTACTTTGGATACCCAAATTATAAACTGCAAATTGTGAGAGTATAAGATCCAAATAAAGTAAATGTTCTATGGTCAAACACACACTGAGGAACTGGAAATGAAAATATCTGAAGTTCAGTTTTGAAGCAGAATACTCAGGGAAAAAATGAAGATCTACAGATCTAATATTTTGTAGCATGCTAAATTAACAACTTGCTGATTAAGTTCTTTGAATCAAGTAACTCCTGTTAAATTACACTAACGTGAAATGCAGACACTAAAGCAACATGGATCCTGTAGAGCTCACTGACATCCTCTGTTTAGAAATGAACAGGTAAACACTTAGTGAAATTAAAGGTCATATTTACTTACACAATTATATTGTTGATTGGGATATGGATCAATTTGACAAAGAAACCAATAAATCCCATTATTGCAAAGCCTATTGCTGTTGCCATGGCAATCTTCTGGAACTCTGCAAAAACAAAACCAAAAAAATTTGTCTAGGAAGCCTCATGTACTGGCATATAGATGTGCACTGCAGTGACCTCAGGAGAGGTATCTCTTTAGAAAATAATGTTAACACAGGAAATAGTTCTGGAAATAGTCACTGCAGTGACCCTGAGAAACAAATCCACTTTTTCAGAAGACAGATGATAATTTTAAGAGAGAAGGTGCTGCTTTCCACAAAGAATGGCCAATCACAATTTTTTAAAGTAGCAAAATCAGAAATATCCACAATCCATGACAATTCATGGTACATTTTTTCCATTATCTTTCCTTTACAACACTACAGGCCCTGAAAATAATCCCCAATACAGTATCAAAAATATAAAAGCTCCATTTATGTCTGTCACAGAAGGTCAGCACCTTAAGTCCCCACAAAAATTGAGTACTTGTGATATTTTCAATTATTTTAAGACAGCAACCATGAAGTGGACCAAGAAGGTCAACAAACCTGCCAGTCTGACCAAGAATGAAGTTCCCTACTGATCTCAAAAGATGCCAGTAAACTTAGAGTCATAGAATTGTTCATTCTTAGCACACAAATAAAGCACTGTAAATATTAACATTAAGAATGACCAGTTGCATTCTGGTTACAGTTACAGCTTCTCTCTAAGGCCTTTCAGAAAGTCCAAAACCTCTCTTCTATATTCCCAGCAACAAAATTCTTCCCATCCCAATCAGGCAGTGTCTGACAACTGTGGAGCACTGAATGGGCACTACAAAAAGCAATTCTGGCTCCATTGAAGTCTCCTAAAATAAAGTCTTTTCCACTAGAATTTCCCCCAATTTCACTGCAATCAGTCAATTACTTAATACATGAAAAGTATTGCTTGCCTCTCTTAAAATGGCTAATTTCAGCTACTTAGCCTGTTTCACGTACCAGAAAAGAACACATCCAAGTTTATTACATCCAGAACCATAAATCCATTACCATTTAGACAACTGCTCAAGTTTAAATCTCATACTGGCAGATGAGAAACATTCACAGCAAATTAATCAACAGAAGTGACATATGGAAAGACGCGTGGTAAGATATAAGATGAAATAAAGTTTGTGTTCTGTTTTATTGTGTGCTTTACCTTTCCTGTCAGGCTTGGTGCATCTTTTAACAAGTCGTATGGAGTCTTTCACAAACTGACGGCTGGGTTCCACAAATTGCATTACCTGATCCATGATTACCTGCAAAGGTGAATGCATTTAGCGTTGATGGTTCCACATATATATACATATATATATTGCAAAAGAGAATTTTTTGATTACAGAAATAGCAGTTACCTACGAAATTTGTAAAGACTTAAGATAACATAAAATTTCATATTCCAACCTAAGTGGACTTTAAAAAGATACTTCCACTTTGCAGAAAATGAAGAGACTGTATCAGTAAACAAACATGAGGGCCTACTTCTGACTGAAAAAAAAAAAAAAAGGAAAAATTATGCCTTTCGGCACAGAAAACAACAGCTCCATCAGATTTTCCTCTCAGCTTACGTCCTACGCCGCGTTTCAGAAAACACCGCTGAAGATGTCTGAACAGGCAGAAGTCACCGGTTTCAAGAAGGGCCCCCAGCCCAAAGCTGCACCGGGGGAACGCTGTGGCCGCGTCTCGTTCTCACAGCACACAAGTGCCAGCACCGCCACCCCGCGCAGGACCCCAGCCTGGGGGGATCCGCTGGCATTAACTCGCACGGACCCCAAGATATCCCGATAAGAGGCCGGACCCTCCCGCCTCTCCCAGCGCCTCCCGTTCCCCCCGCTGCGGCCGAGGCCGGCCCTGCCCGCCCCAGCTCCCCCGCCACCTCCGGCCTCGGCCCCCGCGCCCTCCTGGGGCTCAGTGGCCCTGCTGCCCGACCCCTCGCTCCCGCCTCCCCGGGCGGGGGGACCCGCGGGATCCACCCGAGACTCCCCCCCTTGCTGCCCCTCTCCCTCACCGCCCGCCCCGCCGGACCAGGGACACGTCGCAGAGAGCAGCGCAGGCGGGGCTGTGACGTCACCGCGCCGCGCGCGCGGCCGCGCCCCTTCCGGGCGGCGGGGGGCGGGTTTTGAGGAGGAAAAGGAGGATTTGGAGAGTGGGGGGGTTGGTCGGGTTTTGTTTTCTTTTGGTTTGTTTTTTTTTTTTTTTTCTTCCGGTTTCCGGGACTCCTCTGAGGGTGTCTGACGATACGTTTGCTTTCCGTGCGGTTGTAGCCTTGGGGTCCAAGGGAAGAAAGTACCGATGTTGTTCTCCCAGGCAACAAGAGACAGGAGAGAGGACGTGGTCTTAAGCTGCACCAGGGAACGTTTAGGTTGGGCATTAGGGGGGATTTCTTCATGGAAAGAGTGGTTAGATATTGGAATGGGCTGCAGGTCACCGTCCCTGGAGGTGTTTAAGGAAAGGCTGGACGTGGCTTTTATCTCTGTGACCAGACTAAACTCACAATTCCAGGTGTGCTGCATGATGAGCCTTACTGTGAACCATCTCCAGAGTGGAATGGTTGCCACAGCACTATATTGCTGCTGATTGGAAAAAAAAAAATTAACCTGAAACAAGAAGAAATGCGTGTGAAACACTTCATGACACAGACTTCTGGTTGGATTAGATTTTGATTTTTTAAAAGCATTTGCTGAAATAAAACTTTCCCCCCTCCCCTTCAAATTTTTATTTGAAGTTGTTTTTCCTGGGGAGAAATGTTCTGGAGAATCATAGTGCATCTTGATTGGCTTAACAATGTGGCTTTGTCATGAATTTGTACTATGGGTTTGCTATGGTGGGGTAGAGAAGGTATCAATTGTCCTGCCTCAGCTGTCTTTCACTCTAGCACAAACTCTTCCTGCCAAGCTGCGAGTTTGGACCTCAGCAGTCTATGGAAGAGGCAGAGTCCTGTTTTGTGCACAGATAATGTTTGCTGATCTTCCTTGAACTATTTTTCAACTTTCATCGTCTTTTTAGTGTCTTTGAAATAATACATTGTTACTTAGACTTGGTCTTCAGGGCAACTATGTTACTCTTCTGTATATATTTAAAAAGAGACGTGCATTTATCGAAGATATGAAAAGGTTTGCATCTCCCAGACATGTGTATTTTCCTTTCATTGAAAGCTAGACTGTTACTAGGGTGTTTTGTTTCTACTTCTTTATGGTTCTTGCAAGGTTGAGGAAGAAAGTGGTATGCTTGCACAGCTAAATTTTCATGGCAGTTTTGCAAGTCTGCATTTACAGCAATATCTAATCAGTACATAACCATTTCCTCAACAGAGAAAAAAGACATTGTAATACTGTATAATAATGGGCTAATGCTGATTTGCTTCTGAATATTGCATAAACTGGAGCCACACCAGGGGGCTTTTCATCCTATGTGTGCTCCAAGGATGAAAGAGTTGGTTTTATGATAGTTTTATTTTGCATATTTACACGTTTTGCTTTGTAGTTTGTTGGTCCTTTGGAGGACATGGAAGATAAATATCTGCTTTTAACTATGGGAACATTAGAGTGTGATATGATATCCATCCACCTGTATCTGGACACTTACACATGAACAGTGAAATCAACCTTATCTGCAACCTCTCCCGTTTCTTGCTGTCCGCCTGCCTGCAGGACATGGTGGGGTGGCAGGAGTCAGAGAGCTGACAGCAGCTGCAGCAAGCATAGTTTGGGATCAGCTGGAGAGGAGAAAAGACACAGTCTTCAGTATGAGAAGAAGCTCAACCTCTGCATATTAGGCATACATGCAATCCCCAAGGGATGTGGGTAGAACAGAGAAATAGCTCTGTCTGAATGGGTCTCCAAGCTTCCCTGTTTCCCTCTGGGTAGAAACCCCATTTTCCCTCCCCTGACTATGCTCCAGCCCCAGCCAAAGAGGAAGAGCAAAGCGTCTGCTCCTGCTCAGGCTGCACGGGGCTAGTACTGCCCGACCTCAGCAGCTCCTCAGTGGCAGGGACAGTCCTCTTCTCCCTGCAAGCCAGAGCAGAGAGATCAGGAAGTCTAGGGTTTTTTTGTTTTGAGGATTACTCCCCATATCTTAGAAAAAAGTACTTGTAGTGGTCCTGACAGGTTTCCTGTGCCTGCACAAAAAGTGATAGATTTTGGATATGAGGTCTTACTGAGCTATCTCCTTTACATCCCAACCCACCCCATGAGGGACAGCAGGAACTGAGCTGCTCTCCTGCAGGAAGAGCCAGAGAGGTGAGTGGGTGAGCAGGAGACACAGCCAATTCTGTGCCCAGGATCTCTAAATGCCTGCCTTGTGGTAGCCCATGAGGCATTTGAACTGCAGAAGGCAAGGCAAAAGACCTGCTTCTTCCACAGTGGAGTTTTTGGGAGGGATGGGCTGTTTTGAGCAAGAGTAGCCTTTAGGGACAGAATCTGACTTGCCTTCACAAATTAGAGAGGGAAATGGTTATCCTGAGAGACAACAAAAGCAAAGAAAAAGACTAAGAAAACTAGGAAGGTGACCACTTGTGGACTTTCATATGCAAGGAAGATAGGCCACTGCAGAGAGTGTGCACTCTGAGTGAGAAAACAGGTAGCTGAGAACAAAGACACAGCAGCAGAGATTTCCAGCCCAAACAAGGGAGCAATGCAGAGAAGGAAGAGAGAGGAGAAAGCAAAGTAGTGATGTGGGAAAGGTGTTAGGGGACCTCCTTATTGAACAGTGCTGCAAGTAGATGCCTTATCAGATTTTCAAAAGCAGCAGCATAGTAGCCCTATTCACTGAAGTTATGCTAATGCTCCATTGCCTGACAATCGGTGTTGTTGGATGACGAAATAACTATAAAATTCTGTCTTTAGAAATTGCTAAGATATATGGGGCCTTTTATTTCTTAATTCTACATTCTAATAAATGTGTTTGATTAATTCATAACTTGAAAAACCATTGGACTATCTATATTCTTTTGGCATTTAAAAATTATTTTTAGTTTAATTCTCCTGAATGATCCAGAGACTCTGTTTGGACTTGATAAGCACATCTGCATGATTTATGATGAGAAGAAAGATTATTTCCCTTTTCAGTAGCTGTACAGATGCAGGGTAAGAACATAAATGAGGAATTAATGTTAGGAAGGAAATGGTAGCTCAGATTTGGGGTTCAGAAGGAAATGATGAAGTGCTTGTGGTCTGTGTCTTTGGGTTAGCCTCATTAATTATGGAAATACCGCTACATCAGGCTTTAATGCCATGGTTGTGAAAGTTGCTAGTCAGAAGCAGTCAACAAACTCTATCCTTTGATTTGTACTGCTTAATATTCAGTGGCGATGAAATATGGGGATGAGAGAGAAGTGCTGTTAAAATAGATTTTTACCAGTGTTAGATTTATTGTATATAATTTGAAAGATGACCTTTTAAAAAAAGGCTGTGCTCAATTTTATTTGAAAGAGAGCACATGGGAGATTTGAGTCTGCGTAATGATAGATGCAAAATGAGAGAAACAAGGACAGTATACTAAAATGGCATCACTAAATGATACTTCAGACTAAAAAAGGTCTGAAGGTAAGGTTTCTAGATAGCAAAAGCTATACAGGAAAGTTAAGAGAGGAATAAGTGGTCCTCCATCAGCTCTTCAGGTCAGAGAGATAAAGAAAAATCAAATATTTACTAGTTTCTCTGATGCAATGCTTGTAATGGTTTGTTTTGTTTTAGCACAACTGATGGCTGTAGTTTCTTTCTTTGAGGTACACACCTTTTAAGTTCTTGGTTTGTTTTGGGGCAGTTTTTTGTGCCAGTTAATATAATTCTCCCATCATTTCTGGGCATATGCAAGAAATGTAATTAGAAAAACAACTTTGGTAAATAATGGGCCAGAAAATGCTTCCCCTGGTAAATAGCAGCTGATGGTACAGGCCTTGTCCCTAACTTTGCAATTTCCACCTGAAGACTTTTGTGTATAATAAACAATTTGCTGACTCCTTCATAATAAAAACTGTTTGTGAAAATTACCACTTCAGATTAAAAAAAAAAAAAGGCAAGTTAAAATTGGAAATATTCTTAAATTTAAGTTGATTTCTTTTTTTCTCCAGAGTACAAAATTTGATTAAAAATGAAGTGATAATTTTCATTTTGTAGCAGAAGAATATTTTATGTCAGCACAAACGTTTTTCAGATGCTCTGTGTCTGTGTGTTCAGACATTTAAAAACAGCTTTCGAAAGTATGCAATGGATACATGTATTATACATGAGATTCAATCATACAGTGGACACAGAAGTAGCAGTGAAAAGTGCAAGCAAAGCATCTGTACAAGTGTATTGAATGCGGCTCCTGTCTGCTTCAAGCCAAGGTGTCAGAGCAACCAACATATTTAGGAACCATGAAAAAGCAGTTCATCACTGCATGGCTATAGTGTCCTTGTCTTTGGAGGTTTTTTTGAATTTAATATTTCACTCTTCTTGCATAAAAATAAACATGTAAGAAGCTAACACTGTAAAATAATAGTAATCTGTGTTATATAACATGCTGATAAACGTCACCTGAGAGATTTTTCTGGGCTAAGGAAGCTATAAGTAGTCTCTTTATGTTTTTACCCATGCCGGGCCCAAGCACTGCATACTCATAACTGTTCAATGCCAACTCATGAGCATCTTTTCTGCAACCATTCCTTTAGCCACCTCTGTCATCCCTCCA